CCAGTTCTCCCCAGCTTTCAGAATCACCCCACGAGCCCCTGGCCCAGCAGCCCATGCCATTTGTGAGGCTCAGAGAGCGGGTTAATTAGCGAGAAGCTGCTCGTCAATTAGAAGTGGGTGCCTTGATAAGGAGAAAATTAAGAGATGTAGGTGAGGAGGAAGAGCTCCAGATGGGGTTGGGGGGTCACCCCAGGGTGGCTCAGTCCTTCTGTGGATCTGTATCATCGGGGTGGGGGTCCCTGGGGCTGCCCCTGGCAGTCCCATGCGGGCAGGACCCCCTGCCCGTGTACAAATGACTGCTCTGGGAAGATGAAGAAGCAACTGGCTCTGACACAGCCCATTTATTACGGGGTCGCGGCCGCCGGCGCACCGAGCAAACCCCATCGCTCTCAGAACGGCGGGGAGGGTTTGTCTCCAACTGCGGGGGATGGTGTGGGAGGAGTGGGGCAGGGGAAGGAGGCTGGTGGCAGCCCAGCCAGGACAGCCCTGTCCCTGCAGTGCGGGGCCAGAGGAGTCCCCGCCTCCCCCGGGTTTGTGCTGCTGAATGCGTCACCTCTGACAGCAAAACAACAGGGGGGGGATTCGGGCTCATCCCACAAAGGTGGGGGGTCAGGAGACACCTAGGGCCAGAGAGGTGGTGGTGGCAGGTCCTCCCGGGGCAAAAGAGGGGTGCTGAGGTCCTGCCTTCCCCCCACTCCCCGTGGGGACACAGGGGAGGAGGGAAGGCCCCCGAGGTCCATTTACTGCCGCGGGAGGGTCAGCACATCCCAGACCCAGACCCAGGTGTGATCAGCGCGGGATGAGGGCAGCGGGCACCACCAGATCTGAGAGACTGAATAGTCCCAGCTGCCCCCTGCGCTGCTGAGCACATTCTGGGTGCAGGGCTGCGACACACCGTGCTCCCGGGGCTGGCTGGAAGCTGGGTTTGGGCAGAGCCTTTCCTCTGGCTCCAACGCAGCAGTGATACCCTCCTCCTCCTCCTCCAAGGAAGCCGATTTCTCAGTTGGCTCATCCAGGTCCCAGCTGCTGGCAGCGAGGGTGGCTGGGGCCTCGTCCCACTTGGAGGATGGACGCACACCCCAGGGTGGGCAGGTGAAGATGCTGGGACTCCAGATGGCCTGGAAGCCCTGGCGGCTGCGAGGCCAGCTCTGCGTGGGGCTCTGGAGAGCAGCTGCTGTCACAGCTGGGAGCAGGGGACAGGCCCGCCATCCCCATGCGGTCACTCATCAGTCACTCGCGCTGTCCTCGCTGTCTGAGTACGCCCCCAACAAGCCGAGGGAGGAGGATGTGGTGCCCGTTGCTGTGGGAAACGAGCCTGGAAGCCAAGCGAGAGAGGAAACCCCATCAGGTATGGCCCTACCCATTGTGGGCAAACCCCACCGGCTCACGCAGAAACACAAACCTCCCTCGCTGCTCTGGATGCTCGCAGTTGGAGATGAGGCAGCCGGAGCTGGAGCCTGAGCCGGTGCCTCATCCCCCCCAGCCTGAATCTTGCTGAGGACAGCAAGGTTAAATCGGGTGGACAAGGAGACCCCACACCCCCTCCGCTGGAGCCTCTTGCTTCCGCCTTGCGGCAAGAGGAAGAAGCAGCAAGGTTGGCCCAAGGTCTGCAAAACCCCCTTCTCCCTCCGCAACCCCCCGGGAGATTTGAGCCACTGGAAAGGAAGAGAGGAGCCGGCTCTCGGCTCCGGCCATGCGAGCTGCCAGCTGTGAGCATGAGGCAGCGTCATGGGCAGCGAGCCCCGAGTTCCTGAATGATGGGCAGCTCCTCCAGCATCGTTTGGCTGAACAGACCCTGCCAGCAGCCAGGAGCAGGTGGCTGGGGAAAGCAGATTCAAAATGGGGCATCTACGAGAGCTGTCCTTCCCCAGGGATCCCATGAGGGCAGAGGGACTTATTAAGCCAAAGGCTAGGACCAATCAGCCCAGAATCTATCAACTTATCAGCTCGTTCCCCAAATCCAAGGGTCCTCTGACTTCCTGCAGCAGTGAAGGATGAGGTGCTGGAAAGCCTTTCTGCTTGTTTTCACCACTTCTCTAAAGCTTCCAAACTCTGATAGTTTGGCAGGTTTTCTAATCAGGCTCCAAACCAAAGCAATTTTCTTGTTTTCACATTTCTATCTTGCTGTCGTGATGGTTCCCAGCATTGTATCTGTGCACTGAGACACTGTTTTGAAGCTTCTGGCCCTGATAGTCTGTCTTCAAGGCCTTGGCTTATCCCCAAGGGCCAGGGAGGAACCTCTCCCCCATCAGGATATCTGGAAACAGGGACGACCCCCTGCTTTGACACCATCACGGCTCAATCTGTCCCACAACAAGGACCTGACCTGAGAGCATTCAGGCTCTGAAGACAGAGCTAAAGAGCACTTGGGTGCTGCCAGACCCCTCCCTGACGACCCAGCTCAGGCCACCCCACCCCCACATGGGCAGTTACCGGTGTTGGCCGTGGTGCCACGGTTCTCTGTCCCGTTAGCCAGGGCAGGACCCGGCTTCTGCTTCTTCACTGTGACCAGCCCGGCCAGCTGGGACTTGGTGTTCAGTTTGCCCACGCTCCGTTCCCAGGTCTCAGTTTTCAGCTTCTTACACGGGGGCTGAGGCTCCTGCAGAGTAGAGCAGGGGTGTTAGGGTGCTCTGGCCTTGGAAGGGGGGTGGAGGGAGAAGGAGGAGTGGTAAGAACAGCAGCACAAAGAGCAAGAAACATGAGGGTAGCTGCTCAGAGAGGCCAAGGAGGGTACTCTCCCCCGCAAGCAGCTGGCACAAGCTAGACAAACAACAGGGATATGGATCTAAATGGCTGCAAAACAGCCCTTGGAGACAAATGTCCTGTTGCCTGTGGCTTAAATTCAGCCTTGCACGGCTGAAGGCTAGCCCTGGGACATTAAGGAGCCAGATGCATGCCACAGGGCTGCACAACCTCTGCCAGGCAGGACCGCGTGCCTGCAGGTGGTCCAGCCACTGAATCAAACTCCCCCAGGCATGAGGATTAGTGCCGGGCCAGGGAACATCGCTCAGATTAACCCCAGGCCGGCTTAGAGACATGGCAGCTTTGATTCATCCAAGCGGACAGAGGTCCCTGCAGACACGGATTGACATCGGAGAGCAGCAGTGCAGGGGCCTGTCTGTGGGGATAATCCCTCCCTTGCAAGCCGGGCACTGAAAGCTCTTTTGTTCTGCATGTCTCCAACACGGACAAAACAGAAGCAAAGGAGAGGCTGTCCCAGGCAGTGGTTTCATTGCTGTCATGTTCAGAGTGCTGAAATCATGCCTTAAGTATGACCAAGACACAGGCGAGCCTGTCCTTTTCAAGCTGAAAGGGAAGCCATGTCCTGAGCGAGGACAGGGGCAGCTCCCGCCCAGGCTTTGTCAGCACAGGCAGTCTAAAATCACCAACTGATCCCCATCCCCTTTCAGCCCAGCACACAGGGACACAGGCTTTCTAAGCTGCTCATGCGTGACAGGAATTAGGGCTTCAGCGTCACACAGAGCAGGGACAAAACAGGCAACACGTAGCCCAGGACAGGGGGTTTGGTCTGGGGGAAGAGGTGCGGTGGGTGGAAGAGTCTCTGCCCCCCACTAACCTCCTGCAAGATGTCCGTAGGTTTAATTTTCGCCACAGGTTTCGGGCATGATTTTGCAGACTCTTCGTCGGAGTCGGAGTCTACCAGCAGGCGCCGGTTCTGGGCCTCCTCCAGCATAGCTCTGCAAGGAGAGAGGCCATGCATAGAGGGTTAGAGCTGGCTGCCTTCCACCGCCACGCCGAGCAGCGCCAGCCCCATGCTGTGCCTGCGCTCTTTGCTGTAAGGGGAGCTGCAGTTCAGCAGCAGTGCAATGGGATCCACCTTCTCAGGTGCTTTTTAAGAAGTCACGGTCAAGCAGTGCCCGAAGGGTGATAGCACTGGGATCTGCAGCCTCAGTCAGGTGCAGAAACTCTCCATGGGAGGACACTTGTCGGGGGGAGTCAGGCCCCTGCAGCGGCCCAGATCTTCCCACCAGTGACATCAAAACCCCTCCACCTCCACTGCCCTAAAACACTCTGCCACAACAAACTGTCCCCAGTCTCCTTACAGCCCACTCAGGACTACATCCCACCTACACAGCTCACATGAACTCCCCAGGCTGGGGCTGGGGGAGCCCAGAGCAGCACAGGCAGTGTGAGCTGCAGGGAGCTGGGGTTCAGCTTCCTCAGAGTAAAGCGGTGTGCAGGCCCCGGGCAGGCCCAGTGCTTCAACGACTGATGTTCATCGTGTCAGGAACAAGCTAAAAAATAGTCTGGTTTGTATATGAACTATTCCCCCAGCTGCAGCAATTGGCCTTTGTTCTGTGAGGCATTTTCTTGTCAGTCTTTGGGGTAGGAAAGAATTAAATTAATTGGCCCTGAACTGAACCTCAGGCAGGGCCCTCTCTTAAGTGTTCTCGGGGTGCTGAGGAAAGGGCCAGGGCCTGGTTTCACACTCCTGTGAATGCTTTATGCTCACTCACTTCATCTCTTGCTCATCCTCCTCTTGTTCCTTGCGCTTCTGCTCCTCCTCATACTCCTTGTACTGCTTCAGCATGGCCTCAAAGTCCACATTTGCCTGGCGCTGGTTGAGTTCCTTCAGCTCCTGCAGGTTCTCCAGAACTTCCATCTCCAGTTTGGAGTCCTTGGTTCGGTTCTCCAGGACCTGGTGACCAGAGGCAAATCGGGCTTCTGTGAGGCAGCAGAGCCTGCCAGCAATCTCCAGCACTGCCTCCCCCTCCAATGCAGGGCAGGAAGCACTAAGAGGATCATCACCATCCTCATTTTTGGGTCTTAATAGGACAGGAAAAACTAGGGCAAGATGTAGCCTGTCACAAGTTCCAAAACGGGATGAAACCTCCTGTGAGCAGAGGGTTGTCCCCTGCCTGTCCAGAGCACAGCAATACCTCGGGAGCCTGAAGAACTAAGACAACGGCTACAACGTCACCTGCTTCACTGGGGAAAGCTAGCCAGTGCAGGAGAGAGGTTTGCCTTCTGCAGAGAAGGTCACGTTCTCATACCTTCATGGGATTGTTGAGCTCTTCCTCTTCCCTCTCCTTCTGCATTCTTTTCTCCTCTTCCTCCAATAGTTTCTCAGCTTGGAAGTTGCGTGTGGCGCCATGCTCCATGGTGTAGTCTGTGTTCTCAGGGTCTGTCTAAGGAAGAAACAAGCAGCAAAATCATTGTACTGGGACAATTCTGCTTCAGCCATCCCGTGGCCACTTCCAGAGCCGCACGTAAATGTTTCCCAATATCATTCACATCACAGGGCAGACAATCACCCATGGCCTTCTCTTCTGCTCCAGCTGATGTGCTGCTGCAGCCCACCCACAGATGGGCGAGACACTTCAGAACTATAAACTGCCATCATAAGGGAAGATATAGCAAAAAGCACACACTCAAGATTCTGCTGGGACAGCCCTTCGCCATTGGGCCAGCACACAGTTAACGTCCATGGACTGCACAACCTCCCCAGAAAGTACCAAACATAGTTTACCTTGAAAGTGATCTCCGCCAGGCAACGCGTGCACTTGATGTAGAAGCGGAAGATGGGAAGTCCCAGGTACACCTCATTCTGAACAGTCTCCTTACGGGCATTAAACTTCTTCCCTTTATAGATGTATTCACCACACGTCTTGCATCTACAAAAGGACAAAGAGAAGTCCATAACATGTCAAAAAAGGGGAAGAAACAGACCAATAAAAGTCCAAGTGATTTTCAAGCCACGTCACCTCAGTGATGGTTATTTTCACCTTTGGAAATCCAGTCCCTACTCTTCAAACAATCCCAAAATCACCCACAGCATCTCTTCCATCTCCCTCGCCCCTTTTCTCGCAGTCTGCGCCACCTCTAATGGCTGCTGGCAGCAGCTCCCCTGCAGCGTAAGGAGGTGAAACAATCCCCGAGCAAACTCCTCTCTTCCACCTCTGTCTCCTGCTGACCAGTACAGCCCCTCTTACCGCATGTTGAAGGGGGCCATGAGCCGCACCACATACTGTCGGTCCTTTGGGAGTTTGAGCTTTGGGATCTTAGCAGGATCGAAGTCCGGCGGGTAGTATTTCTACAGAGACAGAGCAGAGACATGCGTGTGCTGGGCATGGAGTCACTCAGAGCAGCGAGAACAGTGGCTGGCAGGCTCCCGGCTGCCGTACCAGCCGCAGGCAGCAGCTCCATGCAGCAGGAGCCAGCGTGCCCCTACTAGCCAGGTACGCTCTCAGGGCCCGAGCGGCCCGTCCACCACTGCCCGCCAGAGCCAGGAACTGGGGGGTGTGGGTGTGTGGCTGTACATCCTGGGCCCCAGGCCCTCCCCAGCGTGATTTTAGGGCCCAAACCCCCTTGTCCCCGCCAATCCCCTCCAAGCGCTGCCAGGAGCCCCAGTGTGGGGATCCCCGCCCCAACCG